ACACAGCTTGTTGCCTCAGGCTATTCCTAATGCCTGCTTCTGACTCGAAGACACACACACACACACACACACCTCTCCCTTAACGTCTGCCTCAAATATGTATGTCTCAGCCTAAATGTTACTTTTCCACATAGACAAGGTATGAATCCTATATCACATTACATGCTCATCCCACATTGTATTTTTCCTTGGTAACACTAGTCACAACTCGAAGTAAATCATTATCCTGCTTAATATCTATCTCCAGAAGAAAACTCTAAGCTCCATGAAGGCAGCAGGCCCATCTCTGCCTCATTCAACTCTTGTGTTCAATACTGTTCCTCACTTACCTAAAAACAACAACAACAAAGAATTATAATACAAGAAATAACCAAATGGATTCCAAAACATAATGAGATTCTTGATTTCATGGAAAACTACATACTTCCCTTGTAGATCTAGTATACTCATTGTACCAGCGCTAGAATGTCATTAGTTATCACTTTTATTGAGCACCTAGGTCATATGTCCCAGGCATTATACTGTATATGAAGTAAATTATACCACCAAAAAGCAAACCAAAGGGAAAAGTAAATCAAAAAAGTTAATTCCAATCTTCCACTGTTTTAAAATCTTAAAAAATAATAGTAATAAAAGGCACAGAAGGAAACATTTACCTGTATATTGTTCCACTATTTTAATTCCCTAACCCAGTGGTCGGCAAACTCATTAGTCAACAGAGCCAAATATCCACAGTACAACGACTGAAATTTCTTTTGAGAGCCAAATTTTTTTAATTTAAACTATATAGGTAGATACATTGTTATTAACTTAATTAGGGTACTCCTAAGGCTTAGGAAGAGCCACATTCAAGGGGCCAAAGAGCTGCATGTGGCTTGCGAGCCGCAGTTTGCCAACCCCAGCCCTAACCAAATCCTGCAGTCTGGTTACTGGTTACTGAATATAAGACATCAGGTGGAAAAAGAAAAGCAGAGGTGGAGGTGTCTGCACATGTGAAGAGGCTGAGTTCATTTAGGGTGAGGAAAAGCAGCTCAAAAAAGGAAGTGGTATCAGGTGCTTAATATTACAATTAATATGGGAGTAGATGGAAAAGAATTCTACTTAAACAGTAGAGTTGCTTGCAATCAGTTATGAGCTCCTCCAGAGTAAGTCTGACCCTTCTTGTACAAAGTACTATTGCACAGTAATAAAAACACTTGCTGACTTATTTGTAATCAGGAGCACTCAGTTTTAAACACTACAATCAATCAATAACCTCAGTGGAACAGCTATTTCACTGGTTTAAGTAGACAAGATTGAAAATACGTGATCATTACACTCATGACTCAGAGCACAAGCTCTTCTGATGAGTCCAAAATGGCTAAATGGGTTACACTGTACACATTCTTTTATTAAATTTTGGTTCTGACTTCTTTTTATTTATAAAAAGATGATCTAATTGTATGGAATTTTTTTCAAGCTTTAGCTTTCCAATTATGATATAATCAAAACATACATCTTTCATTTCTAAATATGGTCATGAGTAGCTTATTCCAAAGTGAAAGTTCTAATTACTTGCCATGTTCTTCACTAAATAAGAAAATGAAATTATTAAAGACTCACATCAGAAATTAAAATATTAATAAATATTTAATATTGAGACAAGAACCTATTTGAGTTGACACTCAGATAAAAATAATCCACCCAAATGGTAGAACTCAGCTAATGATAATGGGCAGCATGGCAGAGGGGAATGGGCTTACAAGGAATTTCAGCTTTGTGACCTTGAGGTCATTACTACTGTGAAAACACCCTAGAACTCTACAAAGGTTGGGCACTATTATGTATGTGTCCAGAAAACGGAGGTACTTCACTTTACACGCCATTTATATACACAAAGCTTTATGTATAAATAAACGTTATTAAAAACAATCCTATGAGGAACTATCTAATGCTAACATTACCCACTCTTTAAAAAAAAAAGACACACCCCTTTTGTAAAAGATTTTCACAGAATGAGTTTTAATTCATGCATGCTTATCTGTGTTAAGCTACCTATAAGGTAAAAACCTTGACTCCAAGGCCAATCTCACCTGCTTTATCAAACTGAATTTGAAATTGAATAATGTTTTATATAGCCTCTTGACTGAAGACTTTAACTTCAAAGAATTCTATGAATACGAATGTACTAACTCCCTTTAATGAAACAGGCAATCACAGAAACTCAGTTAAAAAATTACATCAAAACCATACAAATTAGCATAGGACTTACCCCATTAAAAGTCACATTTTAGTAACATATCAAATAGTAAACACACATTACCGATGCCAATTTTAGTGACCTTAAAGTACCTTGGAACATGGAGAAATATTGTATTGAAATTAAATACCCAGTACACTTGGAATGCATGAAAGTTTGCGTATAGTGGAAACTTCAGTTCTCTATAAACACTCACAAAACTCCACCCACTAACATTTCCAGAATCACACAAAAAAGCTATGTCACCGCAGTCAAGTACCAAGATAAAAATAAATTGGCAACTTAAAAAAGTTAGCAAAACACCACGTTATCCCCAAACTAATAAGAAACAGTGACTAAGCATAAAGAACAGTGATTCAGCGAAAATCACATACAGAAAAATCGAACCCTGAGAAAAATCCTAAACGTACATTTTATCCTACCTAATCTTTTCCTTTGGCCGCGTCAACAGCTGGGTCTGCTTTGGGAAACCTTGACAAGTAGGAGCGAACGCCAAACCTGTGAATATAATTTGCTAGGTCTCTGAAAGACATAACACAGGACTGAAAGGTGGCAAACAAAAACTGAAGTTCAGAAAGTTTGGGGTTTTTGTACTTAAAAGACTTTTAAGTTCATCTACCATGGTATCAGAATGCCCATAAATAACTTCATCTTGGATCCGAGCCCATCCAGCAATTCTGGAATAAAAGGTCAGTTCCTTCCCAAGCATCGCTTATCGGAGACTTATGAAATGGCCCAGAAAGAAAAAACGAGGGAGGCAGAGGGGAGCGGAGCAGGAGAACCACGGTAAACAACACATGGCTCTGCCAGTCTCCATTCTCCCGGATCCACACCCTGAGAACGAGCCCGGAGGAGAGCGCTCCGAACCCAACGTGCGGCTGCACGGGGCGGGCCGCGGACAACTTGGAAAGGGTCGTACCCGTCAGCCCCAGACACTCAGTCAGTTTCCCTTTAATAAGGACTCGGGCTAGGACTCAGCGCTTCTCACTTCCATGAATGGAAAAGTTACCAACTTCGCTCATCCCGCGGAGACAGTGGAAGATGCCTCCCAGCCTTACGTTAACCCGTTTGTTGCCCCAAAGAACTCGGGTTTCTAAACGGCCAAAGGAAAGGGACCTGGATTTTCGCGGTTCCTGGGGTTTCCCAAGTTTCCTTCACATCCTTTCCAACTCATCAACGCGCACGGCAGGGTGACTCGAGGGTCGGTCCTCGGGGTCGGGGTCGCCATTTGCAGCCCGTCTCCGC